CTGGTATGTTGCCATTGTTCGTAATTCTTATTCTTACAGTGGTCAAAATAGGAATGTGACTGAATTCATTACTTTATGCATTTATACCAAGGAGATCAAAACAAAGTGAAGATTTTTGGTCTTCCAAAAATTGCAAAGCATTATGAAACCTAAACAATCATATTGTGGTGGTAGTCCAAAAGGAAAAATTTGGGACTATTTGGGCTGCAATTTGAAAAAATTATGAACTTATAAATTTCCACTGTTGTCCATCTTTCTGTCTGTCTTTCCTTGATGTCGAAAACAGTCAGATAGATGAAAGTTGAGACCAGTTATGGAAAGATTAGGGGCAGGAGGCCCCAATTATCATATATCTTGGCAGATAAGACGAGGTATAAATTTTCATCAAAGTTTCATAGTTTTAGCATATATCTGCCCTATAAGATAACCCTCAAACTATCAACGGCCTATAAATTTAGTTTAGATCAGCGATCATCATCTGAATAATAATACTGTATAGTGTACAGAATATAGTGTATAGTGTATACAGAATTACATCCTATTTGTAATTTTTCAAATGAACAAATTTTATTTTCTTGCATCTGGCAGCACTGCCTTGCTATTGTTGCAAACATTGGCACTGATTCGGCATTCAGGAAATGACCTTGACTATTCACAAAAACATCGTATGGGCTATTCTATTTTGTGCACATACCCAACTCTCTTCTAGTAAATAATTACAGTTTGTCTGTCTTTTTATAATGGTTTTAATTTATATAAATTTCAATCTAATTTTTTTTGTATTTGTCCTATAAGATGACCCTGTATTTTGGGGGCCTTTTTTTATGATTCAACTATCGTCTTATCTGCTGAGATATATGGTAACTATATATGAACTTGGTGCAAATTGGAAGTCATGTTATTTCAATTCAAAATTTTCTCAAAAGAAGTTACATAGATGATCGCACAACTCTATTGCTAATGAAAAAGTATGATAACCAGAGGCAAGACACTACTAATTTGAGATGGAGAGCATATATTTTAAATTAAAAATTGCAGCCTGGCATTGTGACAGTGTCACAATAAATAATTGCTTGTTTAATTAGATATTACTTTGCAAAAGTCAAAATATACTGTTACTTTAAGTCACTGGTATCAAACAAATTTAAAATGGCATCTTAGATCCAAGCATCTCCAAAAATATAAAGAATATAAAAAATAAAAAGTAACTACTTTCATTCATTTCCATTCCCAGATGAAGCCAGAATGTGTAAATCAACCTACAATGTCAGAACATTTGAAGCAGCCAACAATTATCAAAGGATTTTCTATTCCTTACCTCTTTTGATAATCCTCTGAATCATCAAAAGCAACTATGGGCAAATTGCATGCTTGTCATATTCACAACCACTTCCAATTTTCCAAATTAAATCAATATACAGGTTGATTCATGACAATGGTGCCAAACTTTACCAATGTTTGTAGACTGATATGACAACTTTGGTCCCATATATAGGTGTCCAGAAATGCACTGTTCAGGTGTTAATAATAATAATAATTAATAAACCATTAAGTTACACAATTTACAATTGTATTAATATGTCTTTCTAATGTCAGAGTTAGTAAAATCAGAAATTCCATTAATTGTAGTCTTATTGAATTATACCATTGTTATTTCTCAGTTGTCAACATCAGTAATGCAAGTCTCAAAGTGATTACAAGTAGGTTCTATTACATGTATTTCAAATATATAACTTAATTTCTCATAAACTTTGTATTTTGTATTGAATATTTTGCATTCATATTATTGTCAGTCATTAATTGGATAATTTAATGTTATATACAGAAAATATATGGATTTATCCTGAACTTATAAATACACACAATACTGATATTTATATACCTTTTTATGAAAACACAATGGAGTTTTTGAATTGAAGACACTAGACTGTTCCCCCTTTATTATTCAATTCATGACTCTGATTCATACATTAGTCAAAACACATTTCAGGTCTGAGAGCCTCTGTTCAATTGATTCTATAATACAAGACTTGAGTAATGTATTGATCAGCATCAAGAATTAAATAAAGAAGGTGAACAGTCTAAATGTCAAATCTGGTGGAGGTTGGTTGAGAACTTCCAGATATTAGGTCAGATCATATCGCATTGCTCTCAAATCTTCAATCACAATTAGTATCAAAGTTGTTTTTCTCCCAAAATCTTTCAACTTCAATCTCTTTTGGTAATTTTATTACTAGAATTTCATAAGAATAGGCATAATTCCAAATAATGATAAAAATATTAATTTTGTTTTTTAAATAAATAGGCATAAATTAAAATATGAACTTAATAATGTATATTATATTTATTAAAAACTTAAATTAATGATGTTTTTTTAAATTATTTATAAAATATAAAAAATTAATAATACACTGCATATATTATTTTTCAGCAATTATATTAAAGAAATCACAGGCACTGTACACAATTTATTTTTTGTTCAATTTACAATGTTTCCCCATTCTCTTCTTTCATACAATATAAACAGATTGGATGATAATGAAAATTTTAAATTAAACTTATGTTCAATTAGATGGGAATGACAAGATTTGTGAGAAGTTCCCTGATGGCTGGATATATACTGCATTCAGCTATAAAAAATAAGTTTTGAAATATTAATATTAAAATTTCATAAACTTAAAATAAAATAAATATTAATTTAATATTATGTACTTGGTTGTGGGTTATAATCCGAAAACCTCTTGAGTGTGTTTCTTATGATGGAAATGGGAGCAGTAGGTGATAATGATGCAGGATCCCGACGATCTGCTAATTGAGTTGTATTTGAATTCATATCATATACAATTGGCACCACGAGAGTTTGAGGCTCAACACCAGCTGGGAGATTTAGACCAATTCTCGTTAACTGAAGCTGAAATAAAAGTTATTTATTTCAAGTTTATCATTAATGTAAATAAAATACCATTTGATATCCAAAATTTACTAGATTTATAAATTTACATTACATAATATATTTGTTAGGCAGTAGTGCAAATTGAAACATCAAATATTAAAAATAAAGAATGTGTATATGCAAATATTACTCAATTAATGTCTTTAAGAATCCTTCTGTGAATTGTTTTGGTCTGTTCAATGTGAGCTCCTTGCTGTTTGTCAACAAGCCTGCATCCCTATTTCCATGAGTCAAAACACTTGTTTTCATTTTTCAGGTGTTACATTTGACCTTTCGTCTTTACTACTTTCCAAAGCCACTTAGAGTTATAGCATGTCAGTGGAAAAGTAGTTTAAAAAATCCAAAGTCAAAGAAGTCTAAATGGCTAATATGTCCAGTGATTTAGTAGGAATATCCAAGTTTATTTTATATAATTGAGACCTGTAGATGCTTTAAGATGTTCGAGATACTCCTCAGTTTTCTTTGCAGTGTGAGAAGAGGCTTTGTTGTGATGAAACACAACTTTGTCCATCTCTCCTGGGTACTTGTGAGAAACTTTTCTTTCAAAATATGGCTTCAGAACATTGCTGATATAATAGTCGGCATTCACCTTAACTTTATTTGGGACTTTTATAAGAGGAAGTGTTCCTCTTCTGATTAATTCACTGATGATCAAGAACCTTCTGGCCAGCTTTCATAGCACTTCATAAACCAAGTTTCGAAAATGTTTTGACCAGGAAAAGCATGACAGATCTTCCGAACTCCATTATAGTAGCTTAAGTAGAAATAAGCTTCATCCAATGTCACCATAAATTCCAATCTACCTGCTGACAGGTGTCACTTGTACAGTTTGTAAGCATTTGTTTTCTGGTTTTGTTTGTGCTCTGCAGAAAGGCAATGTACTTTAGTCTTCTGTACCTTTGTTGCTTTCAAATTCTTATGAATTCTGTTTTGTAGTCCTCTGGCAAGTTCAAATATCCTTGGCAATGTTTTTGATACTTGGAGGGTTTGGTGTAGACAGTAATTTGCAGACCTTCTCAATATTAGCTTTACAGTGTGCAGGCCTAGGTTTTGAACAAAGTTTTAAATAATCCCCATTTTCCGCATTCCATCGTTTTTCATACAAGACCTAATAATATTGCTTACTGTCTTCTGACTTACAGCAATGGAACTAGATTTTAGTGATTTAACCTTTCTGTGGTCTTCCTGAAATATCTTGGGCCAAAACATAATGACCTTGACTGGTGGACCCAACTTATCTTGTTTCTGCATTGGAACGTTTTTGATACTAGATGTTGCTAGTCATTAAAATTTTTATATTAAAACTAACTTCCATAATATAATTATTTTTGCTTTTTACATTTTTTAATATGTTTATTTTGTTTGTGCGAAATAAAAATGAAATTTTTTATAATATTTTTAAATAGCCATAATTATTTTTTTCTAAAATGCATAATTTTCGTTAGGCTTAACATCAACAATAATTCAATGTAAAGTGACATGCAACGAAGAAAAATTTTAACATAAAATAGGTTAATGGTCTTTCTGGAAGTCAACACTTGTTCAGAAAGCAGTTTTACATGGATATCAATATTCTATTTTGTGCAGAACCATTTTTTCAAATTTTTTTACACAATTTTACATTATCAAAAAGAATTATGCGTAATCACAAAAAACATCTTGTGGCTCGTGTTGCCAATTAAAAGATATAACAGTATAAAGTTAATGAATATTTGAGTATATACTCTCATTAAATGGAACAGTTTGTTTTAAATTTGTAATTTTAATAATCTACATTAAAAAAAACCATTTTTCTGAAAATAAATTTAAAACCGTTGAAAATTTAAAAATGAAAGTTTTAATTTTTATAAAATATGGTAATATACAATATAGTTACATTTTAAAAATAAAATTTTTTATGTATATTCCATGGCAATTGCAGAAAAATGCAAGGAATTTTAATATTGTTAAATTCATAAAACTTTGAAAATACTATGGTTTTCTCTGTATCTTCAAAATGAAAAATTAAGTTGGATAAATACTGTTCAATGCATGCAAAATGTTTTACCTGGTGGTTTATGATCTATTGTACTTCCAGCTTGTGGGCTATGTAATGCAGGATGGCTACTGCTACCGGGACTTTGAGCAGTTCCTAATGAACGAGGAGAAGGTCTTGGCATAGAAGGACTGCCAGGCCATGTTCCTGTAGCAGGTGATGACATTGATAAATTACCAGTAGAGCCACCAGGTGCAGGAAATGGTGATCCACTATCATGACCTAAAATCAAAAAATCATTGAACTTGTTAACATATAAAAATCTACAGCACTTTTTAAAATTTTCTTTATTAAAATTATGATAAAATCTGTATATCAGAAAATGACCAAAATGATTTTATGTATTAATAAAGAATCGAAAGCAAACAGAAAAAATATTAATACATTCTTATTCTATTAGAATCTTTTAAAGACAAAATGAATATTTCTTCCATTAAATTAATGCAAGTAGTCTAGATTAAATGATCCAGAGAATGTAAACAAAATACAGGTAACTCTCATTATTCATGAGGGTTAGGTTTCTGTGGATCAAGCCAATGTGGCTTAAGTTAAAGCATGTTGTTGACTTAGAAATATTTAAACCTTTGCAGATGATTCAATAAGCAAATAATAACAAGTAATGTTTATTTTACTTATATGTTAAATGACATTAGAAACATTAGTCTTATATTTTATTTTAAAATGATTGTGGAGAATTGACAAGCATTTGGAAAAACTGAGTTAATGTTTTGTTTTATGGATTTTTTTATTCATGTCTTTCAAGACTTCAGCATACAAGATCAACGAAGGCTGTTTCCAAAGCTTGCTTAAACTTGAGATTGCACTCAGGAATAAGGTATGACTCCAGGCGACACTCTACATCAACAAACAGTGTTGTATATTTCTGAAAGCTCGTAAGCTATCATTGAAAGTTTTAGCAGTTTTTCCTGTTCATCATCTTCCTTTTCACTATTGTGTAAATTTTCTATAACTATCCTCATTTGTGGGTTCCACAGCTCTTGGTACAGCAGGTTTTCAACATTTACTGTTTACATTCCACAAATCCCTTAATGATTATCTGCTTTACCATCTTTTATATTATTATATTGGATTATTATTATTATTATTGTTGTATGGAACTAAATATTTACTGTATATACTCTACATAATTGTGACAAACTTTGTCTTGTACAATTTAGCAGAAAACATTGCTGCTATAATGCACTGACTTCAGTTTGGTAGTATGGTAATGACTGTTGTGAGAGTCGCCAAGGATGTAGTTCTTTGTCTACGCCGCTTACGGGCACTAGTCGCGAGACCAGTCTCTGTCGTCCAAAGAATGGCCTTTCCCGAACGTAGGGAAACGAGTGGCTGAGGGTCTTACAGTTGAGTGGAAAAGGGCAGAAGTTGGTGGTGGTGGTAAATTCACCTTCTTCCTTACGTCAGGTTCCCGACACCAGTTTGTCAATTAATCGATCCGCGGACAAACACGCGTGTGACTATTTTATAGATTTGATTCTAGGGTTGAATGAGAGACATTCTTTAACAAATAAACAAGAATGAATTTAATTAAACATAAACCAATAAAAATAGTACAAATAAAAGGTAGTAAGAGACAATGACTACAACCGACAATCTATATGTCGAGAGAGATATGGACTTATACTTAACCGATACGCGATCGAGAGAGAGAGCTTACAATATCGCTATTAAACATACAACCTGTTTTAGTGGTCTTTCGTCTTCTTCATCGGTTGGCGAAGGCGCTTCATTTATAAAGTTCTCAAACTTCATTCCATGGGAGATCGAGATGTGCACAAAAGTTAAAGTATATCTTCTAAGTGCTAACTCTGGAAATTATTCTATGTGACTCATCTAAGGGTGTTGGCCATCAGGAGAAATATGTGTGGAGTCCTGACTCTTCCAGGTCTGTCGATAAACTCCCCGAATTCTGATAAATTTCCTCTGTATGTGACGATCGGCGACCAATCATCATAGAAAGATTCTTCCGTGGGAACGGATGGAAAGGGGAATATGTGAGGGGTAAACATTTCCCATCAAAGCGAGGTTTTTTGCAGATAAGGGAAAAATAGAGGATGTTCTAACTTCCCTAGAAGGAAGTAGCATCTGTTATCTATTTTTCCCACTCTAAAACGTTATTTTTCTCACCCAAAACGAAAGAATATTTTATAACAAAAATTTAATATTATTCTGAAATTATTAATTTAGACCCAGGGNTCTGTTATCTATTTTTCCCACTCTAAAACGTTATTTTTCTCACCCAAAACGAAAGAATATTTTATAACAAAAATTTAATATTATTCTGAAATTATTAATTTAGACCCGGGGCCTATTCGGATCTCAAACTGTACTTTGTTTGGTTATGTCAAATAATGTATAAATTGGAGATAACAGAAAGTAGGTTTTTACAAATACAGTACTGCAATGGAAATATGCAAATGTTTAATGACTAGCTGTGTCAGAACTTTTCAACCAAATATATTGCAAATACTCAAAATCACAAATACCAAATACTGAAAGTTACCTGTAGATATATTTTTGATTGGTAGATTTACAGGATCTGTACAGGTAATTCCATCTGTGATTCCTTGACATTCTCTGACCAATTATGACATTGTTCCCTGACCTATTAAGGTCTCTACATTTTCCCTTTCCATTATGTAATATTCAGCCAAGTCTATTTAAGCCCATTTTGCACAATTATATAAACTTTTAGTAAAAACTATTTTATTCCCTTACAAAAAATGAAAAACTTTGCATAAAATCAATTACATAATTAGCTACATCATCCTAAATCATATAAAAAAATTTAACAATTTTATTTAAATTAATTCATAAATTTTATTTAAATAAGAAAAAGACTCACACCATGTCATAAAATTGAATTTTCTTAAAGCAAAGAGGCAGCAAATTCAAAATAATTTAAACAGAATAAATCACACACTCCATAAGAGGGTGAAATTGCTTACTGTGTTCTATTTTTGGTCTAGCAAAAACCCATTTAAGGTCATTACATTTCTTTCCATCCTCCTTGAAACTTATAATGGTGGAGTTTTGGCAAAAAAGCGTGTCGTTGTCAATGGAGTTTTTGAAAACCCAAAATTCTGTGGGCCATCTGAAGATGAAAATTTTCAGTATCATAGACAGAAGACATAATCATAGATCATTATTAACAGATATAATAGATCACAATTAACAGGATTATTATCTCCACATAATGTATGTGGCCAGCAGCAAAGAATATAAATGAAAATACATGAATTGCAAGAAGTCTGTCACAAGGTCAAAAATGTCCTGTACTCAAAATCATTAAGCCAACTAACAGTTCTTTGTCTTCCCCCACAGAATCAACTAACTGCAAAGGGTTAACCACATGTCGTGCAGGTAAAAAAAATCATAAGCAGACACAATCGTAATCACTTAAAACATGAATCCATCTGTGTTATTAGAGGAAGGATAAGATGTAAACAAATAAAGTCTTTGTGATTATCACATTCCAAGTCAATATATATCAGTTCAGGTGGCAGTGCATTCAAAGTATTTGCATCAGTGTTGATGTGCTTGGTTTTCTTAAGAAAACGTCAGGGAGGGACGAGAAGTTCTCTATACAATCTGCATCATTTGGCATTAGTCATTTCAGGCTTTTCTGATTCCTTTTAAATTTTTCTTTCCAATGATATACATTTCTTACATTTCTGTTCATATTTCCTTTGCAATTTGTTCAACATCATAAGTGTGTGAGTTAAAAATTTTCTTCAACTCACACACTTATTTGGCTTATAACTTTACAAATTATTTTATTGATTATTATTGCTAAATAATATTGTAGATCCTATAATTCTGTACAAATCAATATTAATTTCAATGTCCTATCTCTTTGCAAACCAAAGTATGCACTGCCCAAATGCCATGATATGTTGCCATTTTCAGTGTTCATGCTCAACCCAAACCCCCCTCACAGCAGCACACCTCCTCTACCACCATTTTAAGTATAAACATAAACCCTCTATCCGACAAAATTTTAATCATTAGATTATCATTTATAGCTTACAAGATATAAGTGCAAAAAATCTTGCCTTTCTTTTGGTCACTCTAGTTTTCATAGACCCCTTTATACCAAACCAAATTTAAAGATGTATTCAGGTCAAAAACAAGCGAGAACAACAGACAGATTCTGCACTATTTGTGGATTCCCTGATTTTTCTTGCTAAAAATCTTATTCCCTGACTTTCTAGTTCTGTACAAACCATGGATTTAGTAAATGTTTTAAATAATTTTATTGTCAGTAAATATAAATTTATAAATATGTCACTGTAATGTTAAAAAAAGTAATAGTTTGTTTTTAAATATGATAAATTGATTAAAATAAGTTTATCATAATTGAATATTGCCAATAATATGAAATGAATTTTTCAATTTTGTATCTTTTCTCATAATCAGCTTAATATTGTTTAAGATTTCATTTTCACTTTTTGCTTTATCCTTGTTTGCTTCTACATTAAAATGAATGAATAGACTTTTTAAAACTAATGTTGGATAGGTTTGTTAAATAATGTGAGATGAACAAATATTTTATAATATTTTTTCCAATGCATTCTTATTAACTTTTTATCTGTCATTTTGTTAACTAAACAAAAAAAAAATCTCAAAACATATTCACAGCAAGGAAGAAAAAACTTGCATTCTAATATTTTCTCTGTTAAATGCCAATAGCTATTTTCTATGATTTCTAATTTGATTTGATTAAGAAATATGGAGCCACATCTCTAATTGAATGATGATTAATGGATACTGCACAACATATAATCAAGATACTTCTATTCTTTGTGCCATATGGTATTTTTTGATAAAATTGCCTATAAAATAGGTTTTTTTTAAAATTATATCTACTTAGGCAAATTTTCAAAATGCTGTACATTTTGCTACACAGAAAACAAAAAGGTAATTTTGAAAGGCCTGAATGACTAGTGATATGTGATATAAGGGTATTTCAGATTTCTAGGAGAGGTTTGTGGGACAAGGAATAATTTCCAATAAACATCTATAGGAGAATTTTTATTCTACTTAGTAACTTACTCCAGCTGTGAGAGCTTTCATTCATCTTGAAGTGTGTGTATTGGGGTGTTCATGGAAAGGATCTTTGCTATGCTCACAATTTCTAAACAGTTATACTTTGAATTTTTTTCTTCTGTTTCAGAAGGTGGAGGCTTTCTGAAACCAAAAAAAAAAAAAAAAACTGTTTAAGGAAAACTGCTGATATAAGTGCTGACAGCAAGGTCTTCTTGAGAAGGTATCTTCTCTTGTAGCCCATTTAAGGCATTCTAAATGTGCTGACTGAGAACAATTTCTTTGAAGAGCAACAAATTTCTGTACTCAAAAATTTAAACAAGCTACAATGTTCTTTGTTTAGTATCACTAAATCATCTATGGAATACCTATGTGAGACTAATCAGGAGTAGGATGTTTACGAGGATGTTGCCTCTCCTACCTCTTACTCGACTCAAGACCTTGAGGTCTGGTCTCGCTTGTCTAAAGGATGGGGAAAAAAAGGGTTAGGAGAAAGGATTGTTAGATTCTTTCACCTGTCGGGATCTGACACCAATCTATCAATTTATCGTGGATAGATGGGGGGAATTATCACAAGCGATCTCGTCGAGGACTTCGGGTTCAGTATGGAGGTGATAATGGTGGAAGAAATGCACTCCAATCGTTCGTTAACAAAATACCCGTTTATTCCGTACATTTATACATAGTTAATAATTGGAATACAAATCCCTCTCGGAATTTTCAATCCGTATAGTTCATAAAGTAACGGCAAAGTATAAAGTAGTCGCGATCCTAACTGCGAGTTTGGAATAGTCGAGAGAGAGCTTACACATCATCGCGTGTAGGATAAATACCTCTAGTTATACAGGATGGTGGTTTCAGGACGATCTTGGAGTCCGAATCCCGGGCTCATTAAAATAGTTCGTGAGTCGACATAAGTCCGCAAATCGTAGAATAGTTCTATCAAGGGTGGTGGCGACGAGAGGCAGGTAATCCACACACACACACACACACACACACACAGAGTACAGAACAATAACTTTTTCCCCCTTGTGTCATCATCCTACTTGTCTTTTATATGGGGGCTCTCTTTTCGAGATTTCCCTATGTACGTCACAGGTGATGATCTTCGTTGACCAATAGTGGGCGAAATGACAAACTTATGACACAACAGTTAACTCATCTTCTACTGGGAAGTATTGTCGTGGGAACGGAGTTTTTATGAGTGATTTTTATGAGAAACTTTGTCGGTTGTTTTTTCCTTTTTGTGTTAACCCTAACTTTAAAAAATCGGTTTGATTTTGAAACAAAACGGTAAATGAATGAACAAAAATGAATATAACTATTCGAATCTCGGCCTTCTTAAATCCTGACCCTCACACCTATGTATTTAGTTTGCAGTTAAGATAAACTGCCTATTCCTATGAAATCATGATATCACATCATCAGTGTATATCTGTATATTTATTGAGGTGTCAGGCTAATGACAATGATTAAGAAAAATTTCTCATTGGGATTTTAGTGGATATAAGATGTATCTGCTGTACTGATCATTTTTACTTCTAAGTTTTTGGTATGTATAAAATAAAAGCATATATATTTTGGGAGGGGGCAATTTACTGGTCAAAAATATTAGAAGGATATGTTCCTTCTATCCTCTACAGATCAATGCCTGCAGATCAAATCAAGAATATCTTATACATATTCATATCAATATGCACTTAAGTACAAGATATGAATACTGTTTCTATACACTCCCCAGTGCAAAGGGCAGCAGTGAAAATGCAAGTGCTTCCAAGCACAACATACTATGATGTTTTTTCTTTTATTTCAATAATGCATGTTTCAATTCATATTCTCATACTGAGTGTGAGCTTAATTGTTGAGAGACAAATAGCAACAAAAAGTAGCCTACTATTTGAAAATAGGAAGGAAATAGTAACTGGAAATAAAAAAGTAGCAAATAGTTGAGAGTAACCTACTCACAGTCCTGTTTATATAATATATGAAATTTTTTAACAATATTACTTTTTAATAACCCTTACCTTGTGAGCTCATGAAACTAGCTGCAGGTGATTGCATGGGCACCTGAGATGCTGATGATGAAGAAGGAGACGGTGCAGGTAAAAATGAAGGTGAAGGAACATGAAGAGGATTGATTGGAGAATTTGCTGCAAAGAGATTGCCAGGTGAAGGTGCTTGCATATGTAACATGGATGGAGATGGACTAACATGAGGTTGTTGAGACTGCGATCCCAAAGAAGGAGGAGATGCCAATGAAAAGGATGGATTTGGTGATGCACCATAACTCTAAAAATGATTTTTAAGTTAAAAGAAATACATATAAAGTTTTACAGAAAAATTTTTAAAATTATTATTATTATTACTTGGCTTAAAACTGATGTATGAGGAGAAGCTGGAGTGTGTGGATTAGAACCTGATGGAGGAGTTAGTGGTAAATGAAACCTTAATCCTCCAGCAGATCCACCAGCTCCAACAGGTGTAGTGCCACCTTCTTGTCCTCTTTGAGCTGGAGATCCAGGTTTTAATTGACCAGAAGATGACAGAAAAGGATCCAGAGAATCCAATGGTGGAACAGGTGAAAGAGGATTATCATCATCCGACTGTGATCGGCGACGTAAATGACTTGCTGTATCATCTACAAATTTATTTAGGAAAGCCTAGAGTAAAAATATTTTAAAAATATAGTTTATTGTCTGATAAAATTAATTTACATTAAAATTAAATGTAAGCTTTGAATTTTTAAGCAAACAATAATATAAAGAATTTAAAACTTCTTTAATGAATTTTTTACAAAAAGAATACAGTAACATCCCGAACTTACGCGATAGGTGGAACCGAGCAATAACCAAGTAAGTCAAATTCACGTAAGTCGGGGTATAATTTCCCAATTTGTGTAAAATCCAAATCGGATGTATGTAAGCTAATAAATGTTCTCATTAATCTTATCTCATCTTTTGATTCGTCCACAGTTACAAGAAATCACCACATAGAGTCTCTCAAGTCTTTGTAGATATAACACAAAATAAATTATAGCTATGTGTCGATTCTGTGTGACACGTCCGAACATGTAAGCTGAACAATAGTGTGAGGGGAGTGAGTAATCAAGTGTTGCAAGGCGCTCAAACGAAAGAGAATTATGCGATTTTCAAATCGACGAGATTTGAAAATCGCGTAACTGTGGGTTCGCGTAAGTCGCAGTATTACTGTATATCAAAAAATTTTTATTTAAGGTGAAATTTTTTAAAATACTCAACTAAGTTAACACTCAACAAATAAAAATTCTAAAACTTAATTATTATTATTTCCTTAGAAACTATAGAAACATTGACAAATTTANATTGTCTGATAAAATTAATTTACATTAAAATTAAATGTAAGCTTTGAATTTTTAAGCAAACAATAATATAAAGAATTTAAAACTTCTTTAATGAATTTTTTACAAAAAGAATACAGTAACACCCCGAACTTACGCGATAGGTGGGACCGAGCAATAACCGAGTAAGTCAAATTCGCGTAAGTCGGGGTATAATTTCCCAATTTGTGTAAAATCCAAATCAGATGTATGTAAGCTAATAAATGTTCTCATTAATCTTATCTCATCTTTTGATTCGTTCACAGTTACAAGAAATCACCACATAGAGTCTCTCAAGTCTTTGTAGATATAACACAAAATAAATTCTAGCTATGTGTCGATTCTGTGTGACACGTCCGAACATGTAAGCTGAACAATAGTGTGGGGGGAGTGAGTAATCAAGAGTTGCATGGCGCTCAAACAAAAGAGAGTTACGCGATTTTCAAATCAACGAGATTTGAAAATTGCATAACTCTGGGTTCGCGTAAGTCGAAGTATTACTGTATATCAAAAAATTTTTATTTAAGGTGAAATTTTTTAAAATACTCAACTAAGTTAACACTCAACAAATAAAAATTCTAAAACTTAATTATTATTATTTCCTTAGAAACTATAGAAACATTGACAAATTTAGTTCTTTCAGTTTTATATATATACAGTAGAGCATCAATTATCCGACCCCCAATTAACTGTCACATCAGTCAACCTACCGTTCTAGTCGGCAAATTTCAAATGTCCGCTAGTGATGTGGCACTACAATATTTGGCTATGTCTTGGCTACTTTAATATTATTTTTGTTAAATTTTTGCATGTTTTAGCTGGCATCAACGGCTCGACCATTGAAGGGAGGCCAGTATTTAAACAAGACTTAATTTTCTAATTATGAGTGGTTGTTTGTTTTGTGAGCAGTAAAATAATTTAAAAATAATTTTTAACGATACAATAGCGACGATTATTATTTTAAAAAAAATTTGTTAGGCTTAACATCAATGAAAATTCAACGCGAAGTTGGTTAATAGCAATATACCAATAAACTAATTACATGGGATATACTAATATCCTAATATACTCTACTAATAAGGTATCTTTTCCCTTCTTTTCAGTTATCCGATTTTTTCAGTTATCCGACCAACCTGAGTCCCCAATTGAGTCGGATAATCGATGCTGTACTGTATATATGAATTAATGTCTGTCTTTCTGAGTATCACATAAGAATTGCTGAATCAATTTCTTTGAAACTTTGTACATATACTAAGAATAGTCCTGAGGAGGATATAGGCTACATTTTACTTCCAAAATCATTCTATTTTATAAGTTTTGATAAAATAATGATATCATTTACAAGAATAAATAGTTCACATTTGGTTCTTATCAGGTCTTTAGCATGAAAAGAAAGTTTTGCCTAGAACCAGTAGATATTAAGTGAACCACAAAATTAAAATATGACAGGCTAATGTTTTGGTCATTAATAGGTAAAAGTGGACATCAGACAAAAGTTGAAGCTGATCAAATGAAATTTGATTGGTCAGCTTGTTATTTGAGCAAAATCTATTCAGTACTGAGCACAAGACATAACAATTTTTACTTGTATAAAATCGTCCCTAGAATTTCTTTTGACATAAAATTGTTTTTAGGGCATTGGATTTTTAGTTTGTTATGTTTTTGTGTATTCTGAACTGAATTTTTAAGATTTAGTTTTCCACAAAAATTTCTGAATTTATACATTTAACTAATTTTGAATTTAATTCATAAGAATATGATCTCTATATTTATATTGTTTGGAAAGTATGGAACAGATGAGACAGAAAAGTTTAGAATGATTGCATTTTGTCCAAAATGAGTCGATGATATCATTAAAAAATTTCTATGAAAGAACAATGAATTGATGAAAATTTCATTACAAAATATGGTTTTTTTATGGACTGATCCCTCAAATCTCACATTCTGACCTTGGTCTCATATATTCTTCTGCATAACTAAATCAATCTCTCACCAGTTTCAATGTGAAATTTGAATTTTTCTTGGATGCAAGAAAGATCAAAATCAACAATCACTTTGATGCTAAATTGAATCCCAATCAGATATGAGTGATGATCTTAGTCTTTGTCTTAAATCAGATTGTGTTTACTTCTCTCGAACCATTATTTAATATGCAGTTCAAAGCTGTCTATAAAATTTGCAGAAAATAAACAATTTAATAAAATTTGACACTCTTTTGTAAAGTTGTTAGAGAGGAGAGGTGTTAAAGTGAGTGTTAAAACACCTGCAAACCCCTCAAATAAAAAAATATATATGTACTAGCTGCAAGGACCTGCTTCGCTGGATTTTTATTTGTATGTAATATAGTTTTTTTATATATATATAAAAGACTGTTTTTCTAAGTAATCTAGAATCTAGCTGCAAGGACCCGCTTCCCGCTTCACTGGGCAAAAAGTAACGATAGTGAAGATTAAGATAATTACATTATAGCTAATCTTACCTGTTTTCACAGTTGCAAGAATTAGGTCCCCCGTTTCCAGACTAATTAGAGAATTTTTACGTTTAGTCAAACGAACTATTTTCAACGTTTCTGGAACGTTTATAATCGTTCTATAATCGAACCAATATTCGAATTTAATTTGAACAAATTCGAACAAAACATTCGAAATAGAAAGCCACTTTCAACCACTTTCAGCCTCATATCTCCCGCACCCTTATAGCTATCGAGACGCAACCACC